GTCTAGTATAATGAGGTATGTGAAGTACTGGAGTCCCAGCTGCTCCAGGAGGCCTTTCTCTGTGGAGTTTGTGTGTTGACGTTGACGTTGGTTTCCTTTGGGTTTCGTCCACAATCCAAATACATACCGGACAGGTGAACTGGAGACTGTAAGTGAGTGTGAATATGAATGTGTGTGTGTGTGTGTGTTTGTCATCCCTGTGATGGACTGGCCATATGTCCAGGGGGTTTTCCTGCCTATGACCCAGGGAAGGCTCCAGCCTCTCCATGACCCTACATAGGACAAGCGCTTTGGAAAATATATGGAGTAGATGGATGGATGGATCAGTACTGTGAGGGTTCTAGTCCTCCCTCTCTGCCACTCTTTTTTCCCCCCACCAATCCTTCCGTGTCTTCCTTGATCCATGTTTCCAAAATAAATCATTCTGAAGGCATCCATCCCATCAAAAACATCACACAAAAAAAAACTTCAAATAGGACATCTGGCTTGGCTTTCAGCTGAAATTGCAGTTAGTTGTGTTTGGAATAATTATTATTCAATTTCACGGTAAATATTTTGCTAAGATTATATATTTCAATATAATTCCTGCAGAAATGGACAGAGTTTACCATTTTTCTGATTTGAATGTGCTTTTATCAGTTTTGAAAGCAGTGTGTTAGCATTTGAAAAATGTGCTGAAAATATATAGTGCTTTGCAGGTTGTGGAGTATGAATAAAAGTGTTTGTGGATTTTGAGAAATGTGGTCATCGAATGCATTTTGTCTGAAAGCAATGCAAAATGATTCACAGTTTGTTTAGCATAGACTTCTGTACCGCTGAATGTGTGAACAGTTTTGAAAATGTGGCTTCAGTATTGAACAATGCTTGTTAACAATTGAAACTGTAAAAACCGAGCAATGCTTGTATTATTCTTATGTCACTATATGCTATGGAGAAAATGTGTTCAGCAAGGTAGAGGTGAGAGAAACATTGAGAGTATTGTAATATTTTACCTCAAAATACTGTATTGATACTCATCTAATGAATAATGCCTCGCAAAACTGTATCAATATTATATTTCACATTAATATTTTTGTGGTCACCATTTGGAAATTTGTGAGAGGGCAACACATTAAGTGTTTTCAAGCACTATATTGTTTCTTTTTGGCAAAATTACAAACTAACATTCTCACAACTAGCAGTATAGTTGTACAAAGCAATTAAGTCCAATGCAGACCTTTCAGTATTTAATATAATCTAAATAATGTAATAATAATAACAACAGTAATAATACTGTTTATATTTGTAGACATGGGAGGAAAACAAACTGTTTGCTGATGTGGGAGAGGCCACACTGTTCCTGGGTGCTCTGGACTCAATCTTTCTCTTCTCTTATGCTATGGTAAGTTAAAAAAAGGAATAGGTGTAGCAGGCTTTGGGGGTTGTGGGTAGACCGTGATGGTCTGTTAAAGGGTTAATTCACCCAAAAATGAAAATTAGGCTGTGTTTTACTCACCCCCGAGGCATCCTAGGTGTATGTGACTTTCTTCGTTCAGACTAATCCAGTCGAAGTTATATTAAAAATTGTCCTGGCTATTCCAAGCTCTATCATTGCAGTCAGTGGGTGTTGCAGTGCTTCAGTCCAAAAGAAGTTAAATAAAAATCGCCCATCCATAAAAAAAAGTGCCTCACACGGCTCCGGGGGTTGAACAAAGGCCTCCTGTAGCGAATCGATGTGTTTTTGTAAGAAAAATATCCATATTCAAAACGTAATAATCACTTTAATATAGCTTGCGCTCACTGTTGTAAACAGAAGCAGTTCCGGGCGGATGACGTATGAGGTCAGCGTTGCGCATGCGCCGGTGAGTCTCGTGAAAACCAACGTTTGTTAACAGGAGCAAAGGAAGCAAAGTTTCCTTACTTTAGCAAAAGAAAACAAGTCTCCTCTTGGCTTATATCGAAATCCTCCGACATTCTTCTTTACAAATCCT